ATATAGTATTCTTGGCTGCATATTTTTCTCATTTAGTGCTCTGAATATATCTTGCCAGTCCTTTCTGGCCTGCCAGGTCTCTGTGGATAGGTCTGTTGACAATCTAATGTTTCTACCATTGTAGGTTACAGATCTCTTCTCCCGAGCTGCTTTCAGGATTTTCTCTTTGTCTCTGAGACTCGTTAAGTTTTACTGTTAGGTGTTGGGTGTTGACCTATTTTTATTGATTGTGAGGGGGGTGTTCTCTGTGCTTTCTGGATTTTGATGCCTGTTTCCTTCCCCAAATTAGGGAAGGTCTCCACTATAATTTGCCCCAATATACCTTCTGCCCCTCTCTTCTTCTTCTGGGATCCCAATTATTCTAATATTGTTTCGTCTTACGGTATCACTTCTCTCTCGAATTCTGCCCTCGTGATCCAGTATTTCTCTCTTTTCTCAGCTTCTTTATTCTCCATCATTTGGTCTTCTATATCACTTAATTCTTTCTCTGCCTCATTTATCCTAGCAGTTAGAGCCTCCATTTTTTATTGCACCTCATTAATAGCCTTTTTTATTTCAACTTGGTTAGATTTTAGTTCTTTTATTTCTCCAGAAAGGGTTTCCCTAGTATCTTCCATGCTTTTTTCAAGCCCAGCTAGTATCTTTATAATCATCATTCTGAACTCTAGTTCCAACATCTTACTAATGTCCGAATTGATAGGGTCCCTGGCAGTCGGTACTGCCTCTTGTTCTTTTCTTTGAGGTCAGTTTTTCTGTTGTCATTTTGTCCAGAGAATAGATGAATGAGAGAACAAAATGCTAGGAAGGTAACAACGACCCCAGAAAAATATACACTAAACAAATCAGAAGAGACCCAAAAGCGGGGGGTAAGAAAGAAAGGAACAAAGAAAAAGAATATGATCAGGCTGGTGAATAGATCAGAGCAACCACACACTAGATTTTGGGTGTATTTTGGTCTTTTAGAAGAAACTGCCTCCCAAAATTTTAAGGAAAGAAAAACATATATGTACAAAAATAAGGGTAAATACGATGAAGGGATGGAATATGACTGTAAAGATGGAAATTATAAAAGGAATTGATAAGAAGTTGGTTGAATAAAGAAAGAAGAAAAATTTTAAAAAAACAAAAGAAATAAAAAAGGGGGGAGAATGTGATCAGGCAGGAGACTAGAACAAAGTCATACACTAGAGATTTAAGGTATATTTTGGTCTGTTAGAAGAAACTGTATCCCAAAATTTTAAGGCGAGAACAACTTATATATATACAAAAAATAAGGTTAACTACAATGAAGGGATAGACGATTCTAAAAATGAAAATTTTAAAAAATTTTATAAAAAAAGGAACTGATAAGATGTTGGTTAAAAAAGGGAAAAAGAAAAATTTTTTTAAAATAGAAAAAATAAAGAAAATTTAAAAAATTAACTTTGAAAGACTAAAGAATCATGGGGAAAAAAGCCATGAACTCTATGTGCTGTATTCCCCTAGTGCTGGCATTCTCCCATTCTCACTGATCAGTAAACTTGGTCTTGGCTGGCTGTTCTTGCTATCTTCTGGGGGAGAGGCCTGTTGCAGTGGTTCCCAAATGTCTTTGCCAGGGGTGGAATTGCCCCACCCTTGCCGGGTCCGGGCTAAGTAATCTGCTCGGGTTTGCTCTCGGGAGCTTTTGTTTTCCCTGCAAGCTTTCCGTACAGCTTTGGAGGATGAGAGTGCAAATGGAAGTCCCCCAATCTCTGCCCCGGAGGAGCCGAGAACTTGGGGCCCCACTCCTCAGTGAGCCCCCAGAGAAAAGCAGTCAATCGCTCCTGTCTCCCCGGTCTCTGGCCACCCTCCGTGCTCACCCGGCCTGGGACAGAGCGTTTCTGTCTCTGGCACCTGACCCCGTGTAGAGTCTCCAAACCCAGCAGATCCCTGTGGTGTGCTCCTGCACCGCTCCTCCCCGGGGACGAAGGGGAATCTCCCTGGATCTGCCGCTTGTTGGGTCCCTGCTGAAGAGCAGTGGTCCGACTGCCGCAGATCATGGTTTATAGCAACCCCGAGCTGAGAGCCCATTCCTCGGCTCCATCTCTGCAGCCGGCTTCCCTGCTCTGATACCTGGGAGCTCTGCCACACTCAGGCATCCCAGGTTCTTTCTGTGACCCCGAGGGTCCTGAGACCACACTGTCCCAGCGAGGGTTCCACCCCCAGCTTAGCCACTGGAGCGACGTCCCTCAGTGGAGCCCACTTCTAAAAGTTCCGATTTTGTGCTGCGCGGCTCTATCACTTGCCAGTAGCGGCTGATAGAGGCCCCCTCCCCCGCTGTCTATCCTCCTGAATATCGCCTCGGATTCACTTCTCCGCACGTCCTATCTTCCAGAAAGTCGTCGCTTTTCTGTTCAGAAAGTTGCTGCTATTCTTTTCTTCAATCTCCTGTTGAGTTCGTAGGTGTTCAGGATGGTTTGATCCGTATCTAGCTGAATTCCTGGGACCAGACGAAATGTAGGTCTCCTATTCCTCTGCCATTTTGCTCCTCCTCCTCTTTCCTCTCTTTTAAACCAGAATGCCCCACACCTATTTTTTTTCTTTCCATGACATTCACTTTTAGAAAAGACAAAGTGTCTCACAGAATGTTCCAGTTCTGGATTTGTCCAATTGTTTCCTAATGGCACAATTTAACTTCTTGTTTTATAACACTGTATTTGCTATAAACTGAGAGTTGGTTCTAAGACTTGATTAGATTCAAGTTAAACCTTTTCTGGCAAGAATTCATGAGTGATGCTGAATTCTTTGTATTGTAAAACATCAAAAGGCTGGTCACCTGATGAAAACTGGCAACCACCAGATCTTTACAATGTAAAGACTGTTTTATCCTTTACGACAATCAAGCAGTCACTAATGTAAAACTTCCATTCAAAAACCGTGGTTGCGGGGCGCCTGGGTGGCTCAGTCGTTAAGCAGCTGCCTTTGGCTCAGGTCATGGTCCCAGGGTCCTGGGATTGAGCCCCGCATTGGGCTCCCTGCTCAGCGGGAAGCCTGCTTCTCCCTCTCCCACTCCCCCTGCTTATGTTCCCTCTCTCGCTGTTTCTCTGTCAAATAAATAAATAAAATCTTTAAAAGAAAAAAAAAAAAAAAACCATCGTCGCTTACTAACCGGCATGGTTCTTGGTGCTGGCGTTGGAGGGGCTGACACATGTCCCCCAGCTGGAGAAGACTGATATGCAGGTGTAGGAATTGAAGGAGCACTAGGTTCCCTGGCAATGCTTTGCTGCAAGTCCCTTATTAAAGACAAAAATGTTAGGAATTAACATAACTTAAAAAAACAACACATATAAAAAGGTCTTTTTTTTCATAGTTTGTTTTTTTTATTTAAATTCAATTAATTAACATATAGTGTATTATTACTATCAGGGGTAGACTTCAGTGATTCATCAGTCTTGTATAATACCCAGTGCTCATCGTGTCATGTGCCCTCTGTATTGTCCATCACCCAAGTAACTCCATCCTCCCACCCGCCCCTCCCTGCCAGCAACCCTCAATTTGTTTCCTATGATTAAGAGTCCCTTATGATTTGCCTCCCTCTGTGATTTCATCTTGTTTTATTTTCCCCTCCCTTCCCCTATGATCCTCTGTTTTGTTTAAATTCCACATGACAATTGTCATATGATTTTGTTTAAATTCCACATGAATTTGGAGATCATATAATTGATCTCTTGGTAACTGTCTTTGATAATAAGATAATATGATATGATAATTGTCTTTCTCTGATTGACTTATTTCACTTAGCATAATACCCTCTAGTTCCATCCACGTCATTGCAAATGCCAAGACTTGATTTTTTGATGGCTGCATAATATTCCATTGTATATATATACCACATCCTCTTTATCCATTCATCTGTCGATGGACATCTGAGCTCCTTCCATAGTCTGGCTATTGTGGGCACTGCTGCTATAAACACTGGGGTGCAGGTGCCCCTTCAGATCACTACATTTGTATCTTTGGGATAAATACCTAGTAGAACAACTGCTGGGTCATAGGATAGCTCTATTTTCAACATTTTGAGGAACCTCCATACTGTTTTCTGGAGTGGCTCTACCAGTTTGCATTTCCAGGCTGTACCAGTCTGCATTCCCACCAACAGTGTAGGAGGGTTCCCCTTTCTCTGCATCCTCAGCAACATCTGTCATTTCCTGACTTGTTAATTTTAGCCATTCTGACTGGTGTGAGGTAAATACCAGGTCTTTTTAAAATTTTTCTTCTCTTCATATATGAAACAGAAAATAAACTCAGAACAATGATGGTATTTTAAAATATACTACATTTTTGTTCTTAACTAGAACTAACTTAAATCTTTTTTCCTACTATTTAATGAAATGAAGTTAGTTCTTTTCCTATTTCTGAAGACTAGGAAACGATCAGAGATCACAGTTATAGCTAGAGTAAGGAACATGTCAAACTGAGCAGGCAGTCCTAAAAGACTGCCCTCTCTCTATTAAGAAGTCATCCCCGGGTGGGGGGATGGGTTAGCCTGGTGATGGGTATTAAAGAGGGCACATTCTGCGTGGAGCACTGGGTGTTATGCACAAACAATGAATCATGGAACACTGCATCAAAAACTAATGATGTAATGTATGGTGGTTAACATAACAATAAAAAAATTATTTAAAAAAAAAAAAAAAAGTCATCCCCTAGATGGGAAACTCGTAACCACAACTGCTCACAGTCAGCTAGCTGTTTCATACCGGTGTTTATAGAAAACAAAACAACAGGTGAGAAAGCTAACCAATCAAAACATTATGCAAATTTCTTGATGAAAATTTTCTGAAGATATTCAAAGAAATGCAGCACTGAGATATTTTATGTTAAAAGATACCTCGAAATCTGTAAGGTAAATGCATGATAGATTGTTGAAAGGACTATTAAAATATAAGTACTAAAATTTAGGAAAATAATTTAAGGTCCACTCCAACAGTAAATTGCAATCCATCCCAAAATCTCAACTAACCAAAACCCTAACGTAAAATGCACTCTATGAAACACATGGTATTGATCAACTTCTACCTGCACCGAGTCATATACACAGAGAAGTAAATATGGCAAGCCCCAGCATTTTTGCAACAGCACCTGTTGTCCTGACGTAACAATTAACTGCAACTCCCAGAGTCACCCCAACCACACTTTCACTCTCAAAAAAGGGTCCCAGTTGGAAGATAAATTAGTCACTCTCTATATAAAGAAAGCTAATACACACTCATCAAGAAACCAAAAATACAGGGCACCTGGGTGGCTCAGTCAATTAAACGTCTGCCTTCAGCTCAGGTCATGATTCCAGGGTCATGGGATCGAGCCCCGCATCAGGCTCTCCACTCAGTGGCGAGTCGTTTCTCCCCCCACCCCCACCCCACCTCCCTCTCCCTCTGTGATCTTTCTCTAGTAAATAAATAAAATCTTAAAAATAAAAGCCAAAAATACTTCTTAATGTTCCTAAGTTTGTAATAACTGCTTACAACATAAATTAGAAGTTTTTAATCAACATTAAACATTAAAAGGTCATTCTGAAATATTTGTGTATATTTCATATATACTAAATATATTTAATTATATTTAATATGTAATACTTCATTTATTATAATGGTTTATATAATTACAATTAATTAGATATTTGAGTATATTACAAATGCAATAGCTAACATATGTAATTATATTATAAAGCCTTAACATAATACTTTTTTATCTTTGATAAATTCCAGAGATAGTTGCAATAAATAACACACTTACAGGACAACTAGAATTTTCTAGCCACTTACTAGTAATTATATAACTCAAAGCTATTAAATCATGAGACTAATAATAACATAAAAAAGCAAAAACATATGAAATAAAATCCCACCAGTATCTCAATGCCAACAACCATCATTACTGACATTAGTTTTAAATCATTAGTGAAAAGAAGGTAAAGTTCAAAGTATTTATTCTTTTTGCACACTTAATATAAAGAAGACATATTAGTCATGAGGAAAATGAAAATTAAAACCACAATAAAATAACACTACACATCCACCAGAACAGCTAATGGCAAAAATACAGAGCAACCAACTCTAATACACTGCTAGTAGAAAGACAGTACAACCACTTTGGAAAACCGGCAGTTTCTACATATACCCTCTCACCTAGCAATTTCACTATTAGATATATATCCAACAGCACTGCATATATGTGCTCACCAAAAGCAGGATCTAGAACTAGCCCATATGGCTATTAAACACCTGAAATGCGACTAGTGTGAACTGAGATGTGCTCTAAGTGGAAATTACACACCAAATTTCTAAGACTACTCTGAAAAAAAGTAAAATATGTCATATATAACTTTTACGATTATATGTTTAAATTATAATATTTTGGATCTACCAGCCTAAACAAAATATATTTTTGTTTTTTGGGGTTTTTTTTCTTAAGATTTTATTTATTTATTTGACAGAGAGAGACAGTGAGAGAGAGAGTGCACACAAGCAGGGGGAGCGGCAGGCAGAGGGAGAGGGAGAAGCAGGCTCCCCGCCGAGCAGGAAACCCGACGTGGGGCTCGATCCCGGAATCCCGGGATCATGACCTGAGCCCAATGCAGACGTTTAACCAAATGAGCTACACAGGTGCCGCAACAAAATATATTTTTGAAAATTTAACTTTTAAAATGTGGCTCTGGAAATTTTAATTGTGTATGTGGCTGCATAGTACTTTCACCACATGGACGAAGCTTTATTTATTTCACCATCCCTGGACATTTGGTTTGTTTCTATTCTTTTACTGCTACCAGCAAAACTGGAGAGTTATGTTTTAGAACATTCATGCTCACACTAGTCATAATATAGTGGCCAAAACTACACACTACTCAAATACTCAACAACAGAAGAATACAGGCATAACATATTCACACAACGAAATATACCCAAATATGAAAATTAGAGATCTACAACTACACACAACTGTATGGATGAGCCTCACAAATACAAGGCTGACTGTAAACCAATTACAAAAGAGTACATGTGATTCCACCGATACACAGTACCAAACAGGAGAAACTAGTCCACACTCTCACAGTAAGGATAATGGTTGCCCTGGGGAAAGCAGTTAATGACTGAGTAGATGCATGGATGATCCTTCTGCGGTGCTGAGAATGTTCTGTGAACTGACCCAAGTGTTCAATGCATGACTGTATTCAGTTTGTGAAAATTCAATAAGATGTACACTTATGTATATTTTCTTAAAGATTTTGAGAGAGAGAGGGAGCGAGAGAGAGCATAAGCAGGGGGAGCGGCAGAGGGAGAGAGAGAAGCAGATGACCCACTGAGCAGGAAGCTGACCTGGGGCTCGATCCCAGGACCCTGGAATCACAACCTGAGCTGAAGGCAGAAGGCAGACGCTCAACCCACTGAGCCACCCAGGCGCCCCTTATGTATACTTTTGTTTTGTTTTTATTTTATGGTCAGTAAACATGTTTTAAGGAATTTGGGCCCTTGGTATTCAGAGTGATTTTAACAAAGTAAACCCTCAGATTTTTAAAAACTAATGTATGTCTATCTGGCCTACCTTTCCATCCTTCATGTACCTTTTAATCACCAAGCTAAAACCACTGACAAGTTGATGAATGTCTCAGAACTGATTTTGTTTATAGTATAAATAAAGAAATACACAAGCAAATAGTAACAAACATAATTTTCAAGCTAGAGATTTGAAATATGACATATCTGAAAACAAGAATATCCCCAAATTTCTTCCTAAGCCATGAACCTGTATTATACTACACAATTCTAAAAATAGTTATGTTAACCTATTTTACACTAAAGATTTAAGTGGAAAAACAGTACATACAACTAGAAAGTAAATTATCAGGGGCAACAAAATGATTTCAACTAGGGGTTGGCAAAATTTTTTGTGTAAAGAGCCAGATAGCAAGTATTTTAGGCTTTGCAGGATATAGGGTCTCTGTCGCAAACACTCAAGACTCCTGTTGTCAGTGCAAAGCCAGCCATAGATAATACATACAGCATGAAGAACATGGCTGTGTTCCGGTAAAACTTGACTTTACAAAATTAAGCAGCAGGCTCAACTTAACCTGGGCCCTTAGTTCGCCAACCACCAATTTAAACTTAGAAACCTTTTTTGGGGGGTGCCCAGGTGGCTCAGTTGGTTGGGCAGCTGCCTTCAGCTCGGGTCATGATTCCAGGGTCCTGGGATCGAGTCCCGCATTGGGCTCTCTGCTTGGCAGGGAGACTGCTTCCCCCTCTTCCTCTGCCTACCACTCCCCCTGCATATGCTCTCTCGCTTGCTCTGTGTCAAATAAATAAAATTTAAAAGAAAAAAGAAAGAAAAGAAACCTTTTTTTGGCTCTCACTTGGTCCTGAGCTACAGAATTTAAGGGTCCTGCACAGTTGTCTCAATGGCAGCTGCTTGCTTAGATGAAGGAAAGGGAAGAGGGGAAAAGGTCCTGCTCCAAGCCCCTCCCCACTTGCCTCTGAGCCAGATCCATCTTTATCTGTTTTACAAACCCGGCTTCTCTGTAAGACTAAGCTTGAACACAGGGTTCTGCAGCTCAAAAAAAGAAAAAAAAAAAAAAAACATGGGCAGTAGGGAGTGAATCTGAAAAGCCAGCTGTACAGCCTGAAAAATAAAAGTCAGACTACTGGGATATGGCTATAAAAACATATGAAGTCCCATTAATTACTTAATTTCACATAACTTTCTGAAAAGGTAATGTGTTCACTTGCTTCAAACACTAAAAAGTGAGTGAAAGATCCCTATCTGCAAGTTCCCTCTCCACCACTCACACCCCCAGATACACACTATTCTTATGAACCTGTCCAGAATCTCCTGACACATAAACCAATTCAAATCTACATTTTATTTTCTTCCTTTTTACACAAAAAGCATACTTCACACTGTTCTGTACCTTTTTTCTTTACCATAACTATCTTCAAAATCTCTCCATATCAATAAATAGAAAGCATCCTTTAATAGCTGTTTAAAAAAAAAAAAGCTGTACAGATACAGCTTTATTTATTTCACCAGCCCTGGATATTTGATTTGTTTCTTTTACTGCTACAAGCAACTCAGAAATGAATTAGGTCATAAATACATCATTTCTAGCATATGCTAACACATACTCCGAATAAAATCTCAAACCAGACTAGCTGGATTAAAAGATGTATGGATTTGTAATCCAGACCTTTGGAGCAAAACTGCCCCACAGAAGGATCGCACCAACACGCATTCATTGCCACAGAATGAGACCTGTTCCCCTACATGTCCAACAAAGCATCTTTTCAAACTTCCAGATTTTTGCCAACCTGAGAAATGTTATTTCAGAGTAGTTTTAATTTGTATTTACATTTTATTGAATGAGGGCAGGTTTCTAATTTTTTTTTTTTTTTTTTTTTTAGGTAAGCTCTAGGCCAACTGGGGCTTGAACTCACAACCCCAAGATCACAAGTTATGTGCTCTACCTACTGAACCAGCCAGGTGTCTCCCAGACAGGTATTTTTTCATAAATGCTTAAGAACCACTTACATTTCTTCATCTGCAAAATTTCTGTTCACAGCCTTTGCCAACTTTTCCATTGAGTTTTTCTCTTCCTCAGTAATATTTAGGAGTTCCTCATAAACCAGTAAATCTGCTTTTCACCTTTGTGAGTAGGTTTCAAATATTTTCCCCCAGTTTATTACATAAACACTCAGCTTATGTTATGATGAACTTTTCCTTTTAGAAAAATGGCTTCTAGATTTTAAGTCAGAGTAAGAAAGACTCTTCCCATTTCAGCTTTCTACAGGAATTCTCTCATATTCTATTTTAAACATTGCATTTTACCCTACACATTTCAAGTCTGATCCACTTGGAATTTATTCTGGTATAAAAACTTTGTTTTCTAAATGACAAGGCAGTTGTCTCTAACATCTTCTAATTGGCTCAGGATCTTTTTTACACTAAATTCATAATGTATTAGAGTCTATTTCTATTTTCTATTTGGTCTTTGGTCTGTCTAATCATGTACCAGTACCACTGTGTTTTAATTAGACACAATATTACATATTTTAGTATCTGATAGAATTAGTTTCCCTTACTGTTCTTTTTATTCTGTTTTCATGGCTAATGATTTGACAGTTGTTCTAGCTGAGCTTTAGAATCAACCTGTCTAGTTTTAAAATTAAAATCTATTTATTTATTTGAAATCGAATTATGTTGAATGCATAAGAAATGACATCTTTATGAAGTTGAGTCATCCTATCCAAAAACATGACACATATTTCAAATTCGAGTCCTCCTCTATGCCCTTGAACAGGGTTTCAAAGTTTTCTACATACAGGTCTCATAGACAGCAAATTTATTCCTATGTATTTTATGGTTTTAGTTGCTATTGCAAGTGAGGTCTTTTCCTCCATTATATCTCCTATATTTATTTATATGAAAGCTACCAATTTCTATAAATTATCTTTACAATCCATTGTCTTCAGTAATAATTCTATTATTTGCAGAGTTTTGGGGTTGATTCTCTTGGATTTTCAAGTTGTACAATCATAAAGTCTTAAAAATAGTGAAAATTTTAACTTCTTTTCAATTTTTATATTTCTAATTTTATTCTTTTGTCTAATCGTGCTGGCTGATACTGCCACTATGGTATTAGATAATAGTGTTGATAGTGGGCATTTTGTCCTTGCTTTTAGAAAGAATGTTTACATTGTTTCTCCATTAACCATGTTAAAGTTTTGTGCAGATATAAACAGATCGGTACACACACACACAGTGTTATGGAAGTGTCCACCTACTCCTATTTTACTGAATACTAAAAGACTTATTTTCTTTTTTTTATTTATTTAAATTCAATTAGCTAACAACATATTAGTTTTTGATATAATGTTCAGTAATTCCATTAGTGTGTAACACCCAGTGCTCATCACATCATATCACATCACATGCCTCCTAAATGTCCATCACCCAGTTACCCCATCCCCCCACTCACCTCCCTAACCGCAGTTTGTTTCCCAGAGTCAAGAGTCTCTCATGGTTTGTCTCCCTCTCTGATTTCTTCCCAGTTTTCCCTCCCTTCCCCTATGACCCTCTGCGCTATTTCTTATATTCCACATATGACTGAAACCAAATGATAATTGTCTTTATCTGACTGACGTATTTCAATTAGCATAATACCCTCCAGTTTCATCCATGTTGATGTAAATGGTAGCTTTTCTGATGGCTGAGTAATATTCCACTGTATATATGAACCACAATGGAAGACTTATTTTCTCAATTGCTTTTTCCTCACCTATGAAAAGAATCTTCTTCCCCTTACCAATCATTGCATTACTGGAATAACCACCCCGTCCCCATCCCCCTTGTTCACAGTTCTTTTTCTAACATACTAGTATCATTGGTAAGTATTTTATTCAGGACTTTTGCATCCATATTCATAAATGAAACTGGTCTGAAGACTGGTTTGCATTAATCTTTGTCAGATTTTCTTATCAGTAAAACTAACTTGGAGGGTTTTTTTTTTTTTAACCTCTAAAACCATTTTAAAAGTACTTTATTTGCTTTTTAAAGGTTTAATAGAAAAACTGTAAAAACAACATTGCTCTTTCTTGGGAGGTGGAGGGAGGCAGCTCTTTGATAATTTCTCCAACAACTTCTATGAAAAACAGTTTAAATGTGAACAGGGGGGTGAATAATGGTTAGGCTGGCTGAAGGGTTCAAGAAAGATTCATAAATATAATAGTCTCTGAGTTCTTTATGTTCATTACTAATGAATATATGCTTCTGTATATACCTAAAGGACAGTTTGGATATAAAATCCTTGGCTCATATTTGCTTTCCTTGAGTTCTGGTGGCAATCACTCTACTCTCTTCTAGCATGCAGTGCTATGAGCTAAACTTTTTCACCTTTTAATAAATGGACTGGATCTTTTTGCCCAGTTGCCTAAAGGATTCTGCCATTATCTTTTAAAGCTAATAATTTATATGCCTTGGTGTTGACAGTTCTTGTTCATTTTTCCTGACCGTAAGATAGACCTTTTCAACAAGCTTTCACTTATTTTAGGAAAATATTCTTGAGTAATATTGTTAAATATTTGTTCTGTTCATGGTTTTGGTTTCTCTTCTTTCAGGGGAATTCAATTTTGCATATTTGATCTTCTTTGCCCATCTTCTCTCTAATCCTTTTTAATTTTTTTACTTTGGTTTCATTTTCTTTGATTTCCTCTTTTCTACTCTGTACTCCTGTGTCTTCTTCACTGTCTATTCTCCTTTTTACTCCTTCCCATTTCATATGGTTTCTGTGATGGTTTTGCTCTCTTCTACTTGTTTCCTGGAATCCTAAAACCTCACATTTTATCATGTCCTGTTTTCTCACCATCTTCCTTGAGTTCTGGCATTTCCGTGTATGGTGTTCCTCAGGGTAATTGCTTCCTAACCCTTTTCTCTTTTTTTTTCTTAATTCATAATGAAATGTTCATTCAGAATTTTCATCTGTTCTGTGACAATATTATTCTGGTGAATATTCTCCATCTAATAGGTTTTATTAAATTTTGTTCATTTTTTTCACCATTTTTAATAAATACTCTATCTTTGTACCAATGCTGTGTCAACTCTACCAGTCACTCAGCATAGAATGAGTCCTATGCTACTGGTCCAGCTTTCTCAGCAGGCTCCTTCAGAAGGGCAACAGCTGATGTTTTCTAAGCTATTCACCCTGTATTCCCCTTATTCTGTACCTCTAGTTTTACATGGAAGGAACCCATTTGTCATTTCAAGGTAAACTACTTATGTTTATTGGCATTTCTGAGATCTGCCACCCTGAACTGCTGTGTTAGCATTTCAGTGACATCACTGTGCTTCTGACACCTGGAGTTTCTGCTCCTTTGCATCTTTTATTCTCAGATCATGCAGCTTGCTTGTTGCTTTGTAAATGTCCAAGAGAAAGGAAGGAAAGTGCTACCTCATACTGCCAAGTTCACCCCAAAGTCTCCACCTACAACTTTTCAAAAGAAAAATACAATTCGATACACAAAATAAACTTACTTTAAGAGTTCATCTCTTTCTGTCTTCCGTGCAAACACTATATCACTGCATTTGTTCTGGAACCTGACCAAGATTTCAGTCAGCTCATTGTAAAACTATAAGCAAAGAAGAAATATAAGTAATAAACAGGAATGATTTTTTAATCTAAAGAGGAACAAAATCTAAAGCTCATTTGTCAATCATCGTTAAAGCTAAAGAACTAAAATCCTCTGGCCGAGACAGTTACACCACTGAGGTTCAACAACTTAATTATACTAAATATGACCTAACTAGAGAAAATAAAAATAACAAAATCATTTTTATAGAACACTTGCCATCAAAAATTAAATGGAACAAGTTATAAGCTTCATAATCATGAGTATGCTCCCAATTCCTAGAGAAAAGTCAGTCACTTAATAAACATATGAAACCTATTTAAATGGAAGGATTAGATCTGCACATTCACTTCAGAAATATAGGCATCACTTCAGAAACCCTTAGAAGTGTCTCCAAAGGCTCTCTGAAGAGTTTTCTCAGCTTATCTATTTCAATAGAGCATTTTAAATCAAATTAAAATGGTGTCTTACTCTTCTATTTCCAAGGCTTTGTAGTATTTCTACCCCTCTTCAGAGGGTTTACATTATATCCACTATATTTGTATCAAGATAACTTTATTCAATGATCATTATGGAGTTAAAACACCACAAGGTAACATGTACCTGAAAAACTTAAAAATCACTTGCTCCCTCAAAAGGAAAGTCATTGGTAAAAACAAATATAATCATTTCCCTAAGCTATTTAAAGGAAAAGCAAAAAAATACTTAATACATTTAGTAAGCACCCTGAGACTCAGGCAGATCACAAATCTATCATTATCCATCAGCACCATCAACACAGAAAATAAAAGCCATACCCTCTCCTCCCTTTCCTACCACGGATCAGCTTCGACTAATCCTGTTCCCTCATAATTCACTCAAATTAGTCAACTTTCGGGATGCCTGGGTGGTTCAGTCAGTTAAGCATCCAACTCTTGATTTTGGCTCAGGTCATGATCTCAGGGTCGTGAGACTGAGCGGCCCCCATGTTGGGCTCCATGCTCAGCACGGAGTCTGCTTGTCCTTCTCCCTCCCCTTCAATCCCTCCCCACTGCTCACTTTGAGCAAGCTCTCTTTCCCTCTCTCTCAAATAAATAAATAAAATCTTTTAAAACAAAAAAATTTTTTTAAATTAGTCAACTTTCTTTCCTTTCTCCCCCAAAAGTGTCACTAGCTTGTGACATCTCTGTGCTAATTTCTTTTACCTGAAATTCCTACACCCTCTTTCTGCCTCCTGAAATATACAATTAATTCTTCAACATTCCCATGAAGTATCGCCACCTTTAAGCTTTCTCTCGCTTACAACAAGCCTCTCAGTAAAAAGTCACTAAAGCTAGGAAGTTCAAGAATAATTTGGTACAACTGGAAACACAACTTCTCAAACTATAGTTTCACATCTGTACTGGTGAACTATTATTTCTTTTGTACATCATACCTTTGTGCCCTCCTTCAAATTAGCTACAAGTTCAACAAAGTTGTCATATGCAGTAGCTAAATTCTTCAAAACTTCTTCTCTTAAATTAGCTTCATTATTAGATTGCTTCATTTTTGAAAATTCCTGGTGTGAGACCTTGTTAAAACAAAGATTTATGTATTTACATTTATTTATCAAATTAATATAGCTTGTAACATTTTTATTGCTACTTTGCCAACTACATATGAAAATCATATATGATTACATGCCGGAATTCCTAGAAATTTACCTAATATTTCTTTTGTGATAACACAGTACTTTAAATCTTTTCTTAAAGTAAAAATACCACAAATTCAGTGGGTAATCAAAACATAACCAATAATGATTACAGATTTGTATTAATATGTAGCACTTGCAAAAAACACAATCCTACTAAACAGATACAGATTTAGTCCAGGTTTATCCTTTCTGTGATTTTCTTTAAACATAAATCTTACTAAAGCATATAAACTTTACCTGAATATTTCTAAGAAGTTCTTCCTGTTTCTTTAGAGAATCTTGAACTTTAGTCGTAAGACCTCCATAGATTCGATCCAGTTCAGTGACAGAAAGAGCTTCTTCATTTATAACACCATCTTGAGCCAAAGCAGTCAAAAATTTGCTTGTCATGTCAAAATTCACTGATTTCAGGTCATTCTCAAGCCCTTCTCTTTCCTTCTTTACTTCATCAAGATTTGACAATAAGGATTTTAAGACATTTACAACCTAAACAATTAAAACAAAACAAAACCCCTTCGTTTAATGCAAAAAAAACCCAGAAGCCAATTTCTAGAAGGGAATTATATACAAAGGTCCACTCAGAGTTGGGTGATTTCTCAGACAGCCAAGCATCAATTGTACATCAGGTTTACTTAGAGATACTGTACCTTTAGTGGACTCAGCTTATAACAGGAGGCAGCAATTAAGTGAGCACAATGATTTACTGAACATTTACTATGTGCCAGGGACTGTCCTAAACACTTCACAAATATAATTTAATATTAGTAATCCTTCCAAAATCCCACTGGGTATATATTTATTACTTCTAGTCCACAGCTGCAGAAACTGAGTCTCAGAAAAATTAAGTAACCTTAAAAATTAAGTAACGTAAAATTTGGTACCTAAGTCTGTCTAACTCCAAAATCAATCTCTTAACCACTCTATACTATATACCATGTCCCTGTCATGGCTCCAAGGTAGAGGAAGGTATGTTTTTGCCAAGGAGATACCCTATTTTGCTGACATAGAGAGACTGAGGGATAGACAGAGAGATATAGACAGACATGTAGATAGAACAGAGACACAGATATAGAGAGAGAGAACATCTTAGAGAAAGAGAGCCAGACATACAGATAAAAAGCTATAAACCATGTGTTTATTTTATATACTGGGGGAGAGAAAGAAGAGGGATCTTGTACATCTGCTCATATCATTAAGAGTTTTCCATCCGGGGGCGCCTGGGTGGTTCAGGCAGTTAAGCGTCTGCCTTCAGCTCAGGTCATGATCCCAGGGTCCTGGGATCGAGCCCCGCATCTGGCTCCCTGCTCAGCAGGAGTCTGCTTCTCCCTCTCCCTTTGCCCCTCCCCCTGCTTGTGCTCTAATAAATAAATAAAATCGCAGACTGAAGGCGGGCGCGGCCCGGGGAGGCTAGGGGCGCTGGGCTGCGAGGGGCAGCGGGCGAATCAAAGGCGGCCGGGCCAAGCCGGAGCCCCCAGTCCCGGGGGCCGGGTTCCCTCTGGCCCGTTTCCCACCTTGCCAAGAGCTGGGAAAGCGAAATCCACAGGCCACGGCGGCAGCGGGCGAAGCGCCGCGTTCTGGCAGGAGCCGGTGCGGGTCCTGGCCACCCCTCAGGGCGTGCTCAAGTGGGAGGAAGGTCAGCCCGGCAGGCTGCAACGCTGAGGCAGGCCAGTGTGCGCCATCTCACACGCACACGCGCCGGGACGCTGACAAAAGAGTTTAGCTATGGGCCAAGCACTGCAGCGAATACAACGGCAATTTCCCGGGATAACTTGCCACTGGCAAGGAAAGCAAACTAGAAGACAAACTACTGAGATGAAATGGAATAAAGACCATTTTGGACACATACAGAAGGACTTTGGAAACAAAGAGTGATTTCAAGCACCTAGAAGATTCCAAGAGAGGAGAAATGAGAGCTGTAGGTGGGATTGGAAATATTTTCAGTCACACTGCCTCCTGAGAAGCCCCTTCATCAACAGTCCCAGTGGTTACCAAATTTGACATTAAAAATTTTGCCATGCTGTAGACCACTGATCGTTCTTCTATTTACTTATTATTTTCCTTTAAAGTCAAGTCACTTAAAAAAAAAGTTTGTTCATCCTAATCAATAATATTTGTGAAATGGGGGTCATAGTAGAAATATCACAGTTTGGAAACAAGTGACCTCCAAGTAATATGTGGGGCCTTAGCAGCCTTTGGTTTCACGATGAACCAGCTGATCTTCATAAATCTACTGGGAGGCTTCACCCTGGTATTGTCAGATGACTATGACCTTGAAACATCTAAACACCCACCCACTGGGTTCTGATGCCAGCTCAGAAAAGAGGTTCTTGCCAATACGCACAAATCTGCTGATGGTCCCACCCACACATGGTCTCTGTGCTCCTGGCACTATAGCAGTTTAACATGGTCTTTAGTGGGAAGGAAAGGCCCCCTTCTTGGCGCCATGTTCAGTTAGGAATGTCTCCATAGTAGACCGACTTGTGCCCTGAACAGATACAAAGTTGTTGCCTCCATTGTATGTAGAAGAAACTGAGCCTCAGAGAATTAGGTCTGTTGCCTGAGGTCAACTGGTAAGTAAATGGTGACACTAGTTATTTAAATAAATAAATAAATAATAAATAAATAAATAAATAAATAAAATCTAAAAAGGGGGGGGGGATGCCTGGGTGGCTCAGTCGGTTAAGCGTCTGCGTTCGGCTCAGGTCATGATCCCAGGGTCCTGGGATCGAGCCCCGCATCTGGCTCCCTGCTCAGCAGGGAGCCTGTTTCTCCCTCTACTTGCCACTCCCCTGCTTGTGCGTGCTCTCTCTCCCCCTCTTTCTGACAAATAAATAAATAAAATCCTTAAAAAAAAAAAAAGATCTTGCCATTTGCAACTACGTGGGTGGAACTGGAGGGTGTTATGCTGAGTGAAATAAGTCAATCAGAGAAAGACATGTATCATATGACCTCACTGATATGAGGAATTCTTAATCTCAGGAAACAAACTGAGTGTTGCTGGAGTGGTGGGGGTGGGAGGGATGCGGTAGCTGGGTGATAGACACTGGGGAGGGTATGTGCTATGGTGAGCGCTGTGAATTGTGCAAGACTTGAATCACAGATCTGTACTTCTGAAACAAATAATGCAACATATGTTAAGAAAAAAGAAAAAGAAGAAGATAGCAGGAGGGGAAGAATGAAGGGGAGTAAGTCGGAGGGGGAGACGAACCATGAGAGACGATGGACTCTGAAAAACAAACTGAGGGTTCTAGAGGGGAGGGGGGTGGGGGGATGGGTTAGCCTGGTGATGGGTATTAAAGAGGGCACATTCGGCGTGTAGCACTGGGTGTTATGCACAAACAATGAATCATGGAACACTACATCAAGAACTAATGATGTAATGTATGGTGATTAACATAACAATAAAAAATTAATTTAAAAAAAAGAGTTTTGCATCGGATTCAGCCCAGGCATTCTCTAACACCCACATGATTCACAAATGACCCTACAGAGTAACAGTGTCACAGAGCCCAAGTGCCCTCTGATGCCACTTACAAGCTGCCCCCTTTCACTCACATCTCTTTGCACTCTTGCTAGGACCACCCAGGAGAGCACCAGCCCCAGTCCCCCTATTGTGCTTGCCCCCATGATGCTCAGAGAAAGTAAGCTGGGGGAAAGACAAAGGAAGAAGGGGACACCCATAAACCCCATCTACATCCCTGTCTTTCATCTTACCATGGCATTTCCAAATCCAATGGATCTCCCCACCTACTGCCTGTTTCTAAGCATTTCTGTCCTACTTTTCATGCCACAGCCCTAGTTAACTCCTTGACAAGTGTCCAGAATTACCTTCCTTTGGGAAGACTAAAGACCCAAGGAAAAGTCTAAAATTTCTTCTAAATTTTGGCCTCTGTTTACCACCCATATCTGTTAAGTGTCCTATCTTAAATTCAGTGTCTTTTAACATTCACAGTAGTGGAAAGAAATGTGACTCCTAGAGGTCCAAGAAGCCTCAAGCCCCAAACACTTTCAACGGAAGGAAGAAGAGAAAAAAAATCATACCTAGGTGGAGACGGCAAGTCTGTTTCAGGGATTTAGTGGAATTTGATGTTCAACAATGTGCATAAAAATCTTATTTCCAAATGACTTCCAGGACATATTGTTAAATCAAAATAAAAGGCGCAAAAGCATAGGTACAGCATATTGTATTCCGAGTAAGAGAGAAGGGGAAATCAGAAACAGACATACACACATAATGTATTATGTGTGTATGTGGGCATATGTATTTTTTTATAAAAAACGAAAGCACTAAGGACAAACCAGAAACTAATAAATAAGGTTGCTTATAGAAAGTGGATAGGAACAATGTCGAAGGAACAGAGATGAGATTTCTCTGCATGCACCTTTTGAATCATGAGTATTTTTTACATGTTCAAAACACAAAATTAAATCAAAACTTGAAGAAATACAAGTACCTAGTTATCCATCAAAGTAAAACGTAATTACGTACAAAAAAATATTTCATCCCTAACTATATTCCCTTAATGGACATATTAAGACTTAGTTACTGTGTAGTAACCAAGGTTACTTTACTACCTGGAAAACTCAATTTCATTATCTGCAAACAAGAGTAATAGTACCTATCCCAGAACCATTGTGAAGCCTGAAATAATTCATACCAAGTGCTCAATATAACTTCTAACACAGGTAAGCACTCAATCAGTAATAGTCATTATTATTAACTGGTAGTTATGTTTTATGGTTTAACTCTATACTTTGGGTATACTATACACTGAAGAGGCTTAGGCATCTAAGCATTAAGACAAAAACAGAGGAACGATGAGGAGCAGACTGCTAAACTGTAATTATTTCTTTTGTTTGTTCTGAATAACTATTTCTTAATTATGTCACATACTTTGTAGGGTGGGTGCAACAGGATATAATTTTAAAAGGTTGTGGTAATATTATCTTTTGTCATATTTAAACTGATAATGGAACCTCAACCATGACTGTGACTCTATGTGAAGGTTGTTTAGCTATAAGAAAAATGCCACCTTTTATCTTTCTCTCAGTTGTGGCCCAAAAAAGGCTAAAAAGAAAAGCATAAAACAGTCAAGTAAAAGAAAACTGGGGGAGAAACAGGAATATGCAGAACTGGTTTTACTTTTTTTTTTTTAATTTTATTAATTTATTTGACAGAGAGAGACACAGCGAGAGAAGGAACACAAGCAGGGGGAGTAAGAGAGGTAGAAGCAGGCTTCCTGCTGAGCAGGGAGCCCAATGCGGGGCTTGATCCCAGGACTCTGGGATCATGACTTGAGCCGAAAGCAGACGCTTAACCTACTAAGCCACCCAGGTGCTCCCAGAACTGGTCTTAAAAAAAAAAAAAAGCTAGTCTACTAAACAAGCTGAAAGTCAGGGACACTATAACACTATTATCAAAAACAGATTGGATGCTTCTTCCAGAGTACAGCAACTACGATCCTCTCATCAAATGATGGGTCAAA